AAAGTTGAAAGCATTCCAAGTATTATAAGAGTCGGTAAGTGTTTAATAAAAGTTATTTAAATATTAAAAACAATAATAATGTTTGAGTTAAAACACATTGAATTTACTAAAACAACAATGGATTTCACTTTTTTTTGGATGATATTTATGATTAGGCGGTCTCTTCACTGTTGAACAGGAGGAACAGGAGATCGCCTTTCGTATAGCCGTCGATCAGCTCAATAATGAAGCCCTACTCTCACAACAGAAGGTAACTTTGGTCGCACAGGTCGAGAGGGTAGACAATGTGGACAGTTTTCTAGCTCAACAAAAAGGTATGTTTTCATTAATATTACCTTAAATGTATTTAAGTAATAATAATAATATACAAATGATCTTGATTATTTTATACACCTGTGCTATAGTTTGCGGACTTTTACGCAATGGAGTGGTGGCTATATTCGGGCCGCAGTCGGCAATACCTTCAATGCACGTGCAGTCCATTTGTGAGACCTTTGAGATCCCGCATATCGAGACCCGTTTGGACTATGAGTCCCATCGCACAGACCTCTCCATTAATCTCTATCCGCATCCAAACCTATTGTCCAGAGTGTATATGGATTTGATTAAACTGTGGGACTGGCAGTCATTTGCCATCATCTATGACAGCAACGATGGTATGATAATTGTCGTGTGAATTGAAATAATATTTATTTAATAATATAATTGCAATTTTAAGGTATTATGCATTTCAAAGACTTTTTTGAGCGATCATTGAATGAAAGCTGGAATATAAGGACATTTCAAGTGATGGATGACATCCCATATCGAGATGTCTTCTGGAGAGTCAAACAAACAAATGAGAAAAATATTATTCTCGACGTTAGGAAAGAGATATTAGTGGAAGTCATGAATCAAGTAATTCATAACAATTTACTCAAATAATTACAACTAATATCTCTTATGTAATGAAAGGCACAACAGGTCGGACTCGTAACCGAAGAGTNTGAATCAAGTAATTCATAACAATTTACTCAAATAATTACAACTAATATCTCTTATGTAATGAAAGGCACAACAGGTCGGACTCGTAACCGAAGAGTACAACTATTTGATAACATCATTGGTATTATTCTTATTGATAAAATAATTTTTAATATTTGTTTTTAAAATATCACTTCAAAGGACTTATTAACACTGGATATGGAGAACTTCAGACACAGTCGGACTAACATAACAGCCCTTAGGATTATCGATGAAAATACACCGGAGTTCAGGAGCTTAGAAGAGGAGTGGCATATCTATGCCTCACGTTTCGGCAAAAGGCATTTTCTGAGAGCTCCGGAATTTTTCAATGTATTTGTCGCACACTTTCACCAATTATTATATCAATTTCTAGAATAATGCCAATTAATTGAATCCATAGACCGATTCGGTTCTCATATACGATGCCATTAAAGTATTGGTGATTGCGTTGAAAGAGTTGTACACATTTGATGTCCAGCCTATCAATTGCGAGGGCGAACAACCGTGGGTTCACGGGAGCTCTGTTATCAATTATATGAGACAAGTATTGATTATATTCTTCATAGAAATTGAAATCATCACATCCTGTGAGCTAATTAACCGTTAAAATAAATCACATGTTTAGGTCCAGACCGAAGGTATAACACGAGTGATTAAATTTGACGATTTGGGTTTGAGGACAGCGTTTACTTTCGATATAATCAGTATAACACAAGAGGGACACGATATTGTAATATAAATTTTTAATATTCATTTATAAGTGACTTTAACCTCGTTGTGAACCACTTAGACAGGGAAGTGGGCATTTGGTCGCATCGAGAAGAGCGAGTTGTGGAACAGACACCACACAAAGTCGAAACAGGATCTGCCGATCATTCGGGTGACGACCGTAATCCAGGATCCGTTCACAATGGTTGTGAAGAACAAGGATGAGCTGAAAGGGAACGATCGTTACGAGGGATATGTCGTCGATTTGGTGAACGAATTGGCAAAGATGTTGGACTTTCAGGTTGTGATCCAATTGGTGGCCGACAGGCAATGGGGAGCCAAGAATGCGGAGACCGGCGAATGGAATGGAATGATTGGCGAAGTGATGAACGATATCGCGGACATAGCGGTCGCCGATTTGGGCGTCAATTCGGAGCGCGAGAGTGCCGTCGACTTTACGCTGCCGTTTATGTCGACCGGAATCTCCATACTATACAAGAAGCCCATCACCAAAGAGACCTCGTTGTGGTCATTCTTGTCGCCATTTTCGGCCATTGTGTGGATCTATATGTTGGGCACATTCGTCGGCG